TTGATAGAGAGAACAATTAGATATCACAAGTCACTGTTTGAAACCCTATTCAAGCCAAAGGTGCTATGTTGCCTTAGCATGAAGCTATGCCACTAATGAAGTCGTGTGCTTCCTCATTTGATTATGGTATGTTAGTCAGGCATGTGTGACCTCATTGTTCTCACATTAAACCTCGTCACATCATTTACCAGACAACTGCTCTTTCATTTGTAGAAGCCAAATGACTCAGCTTCTCGAGGCTACTCTCATTTGTGCAGCATCATTTTCAAAGTGATGTGTTCTATGTCTTACATAAAAATCTCAAATAAGAGCTTATAAAAGTCAATCATTTTTCTTTCTTTGCATGGAATAAAGTGGGTTTTTGTTTTTTGTCGTTAAACTGACAAAAAGTCACGCAGTGAAAAAAAAAGATGACACACTTAAGGAAAGCTTACATTAGGGTCTGTGAGAGGCCATGACCTTTTTTACAGTACTACACAATTCAAGGCACAAACGATACAGTTATTTAGAAAAAGTAAAATCCCTCTGTGCTTTCTTAGTCAGATTAAGTTCTCACTGTCCCAACCTCGGTACAGGGGTTTTTAAAGGACTCCCAACTCACTGCTGACATACAGTGTCCCTGTGCTGCGTCTCATATGGAGCCTAATCAATATAGCACTGTGTTAGATTGGAAACTTGACGCTGTTTCTACAAGAATGTATTGATTTCTTTCTTTTTTCCTTTGTACCCTCCTCCTTTTCTATCCTAGCTCTTCCGCTCAGGCACGGATCAAAGGATTTTACCCTTGAGCAAGGTTTAAGGTGTTTGGTTCCAGACTGAACAGTGCTCTAATATTCTAAAAGCAGGCCTCAGTCTGTTGGGGATTCGTGTTTTCATTGACCTTGTCTTCTCTCTGTACAGTGACTTTTTTGAGGGTCTGGTAATTGGGACAAGCACTTCCAAGACATAAAGTATAAGCTTAAGTTTAAAATACAAGATATATAAGATAAATAATGACAAGATATAATTAAAATGTCATGTCATTGTTCAAAGAAACCCCCCATATACAAATTGAAAAGGTATGTTATGTTAAACAATATATTTATGAATTTAATTCAGACTTTAAAATAGAACTCCTGAACTTTTCAAAGTTTGAAAAGATTTTGCTGCAGGGCAGTTGAGCTCACAAGTACACAGTAATGATAAGAGTATTGATTCCATGGTATTGATATACAGTAGCTATACTCACACAAGTATCGATTAAGCATCAATTACAATCGATTAGCATCAAGTAGCGATACTAATTAATAAATGAAAACAGCACGTGTCATATTTGAGTCCATATTTTTTAGGGTAACTTTGTCCCTTAACAGTTGCAGTTAAACCATTTAGATTACATTATGTAAAAAAAAAAGTCATTTGTTATTATTAATATCTTATGAAAAATACATATGAAAGTTTTTACACCACAGTATTATGTGTTATTGTTGGTTTAATAGAATAACACAAAAATATCACTATTATTATTATAATATAATATCACTATTAAAATTGTACCGTACCACAAAAAAATCTTGAATCAACTATCACTATTATCATTATACTTTAAAAATTTAGATAATCCAATAAAATAAATAAATAAAAAAAATAAATAAAGAATTGATATTGGTATTGAAAGTAAGTACCGGAAGTAATTGGTATTGCATCATATATATATATAAAAAAAATTGGTATCGCCCATCACTACTACAGGAGACAAAGTTTCTCATCCTCGTGTGATACTTTCTGGAACACATTTAAAGGATTTTCTTTTTTCTTAGTGATATCCTGCCCACATTTCTGCAGTGACCATTAAAGGCTGTATACTGTATTCTATATGAAGAGTGTTACTTCATGTCACTGTGCTGTATACCTCTAACTAGCTTAGAGTCTAAAAAGATCCCAAAGTGTTGTCCTCAGCTGAATTCTCTGAGCTACTTTCTGCAACTGCCCTGGGGCTCATTATTCACTGTGTCTTCTATAACTTTTACTTTGTCTTTAACTTAAAGAACAACCTGAATTCAATGCTTCAAGACTTTGGTAAACATTCAAAGACAAATCCTTACCTACGGTGAGTCGGACTTTATTGGCATACCACACTGAGATAGGTTGATCATTACATTAGTTAGCAGATGGTATAACTGCTCAACATGGTTCCTGATATCTAAGGTTTAGTGTTCAAATTGACTAATACTGCTGACAAAATAATTTAGCAGCAGCCATAGTATCAGATTGGAGGTTTTTTTATTAATAGAATGAGAAGTCTGATTAGGTGTGGTAAGGGATTGTGGGGTGGTTTATTTAATCGATAAAATATGTTGACACCTCAAATCAGAAGGAGCAAGTACATATCAGGTCTGTTTGTTGCGTCATAACATGTACATGAAAGGACATTTGCAGCATAATGACTTATACAGAGGTACTCTATGTGTCTAAAGGCATGTGGGCATGCATACAAATAAGAAATCCATACAACACTTTAAGGTTTGTCCAAAATACACAGGTATTGTTTTAGGGAGATAAACACATGCACAAATGCTTAAAGACTTTACTGGGTTCTGTGTTCTACTTCGTTAGTTTTTGCTACTAACTAAACTCAATGACTTTGAATAACAACGCTATGTGTTGAAAATACGTTACATGCATTGCAATACTTATTTTTCGCACTATAAGTTGCTTCGGAGTGTAAGTAGCACCAGCCAAAGGAAGAAAAAAAGTGCAACTTACAGGAGTAGCAGATACTGGTACACAAGCCTAGAGTGCCCTCTTGTGGCTGTCAGTGTGAAAATAACAAATCTGAAATAATATATTTTATTTATATAAGTCGCACCTGTCTATAAGTCGCAAACTCAGCCAAATGATGAAAGAAAGTGTGACTTATAGTCTGGAAAATACAGTGTATTCATACATATAAATACTCAAGCAGGTGCTCCTGATCAGAGGTCTGCTATTTATTTATTTTGTCGTGGAATTGGGGGTTGCACTTCCTCTACTCTTCCATTCTGGGCCATGGTCATAGAGAGGGAATCATGGATGGCATTGGCCAAAACTAATTCAGGTCAGCATGGACGGGAGATATGAGCAAGAGGTTGGGGGCTGGAATCAAGGATAGAGTTGAGGTAGAGAACCACTGCCATGAAGGATGGTTGGCTAGGGACCGGAGAGGTGTGAGTGTGTTGGCGGGTTCTTGGGTCAGCGGGAATATAAGAAGAATATTAATGACTAATTAATTACCAAATGTCTTGTTAGTAACTATGCGTGTGTTCTTTGAAGACACATTACTTTTCCACTGAGCCTACTTGCTTTTTTAGAAAATGCAGCAGAATCACTTCATTGTTTTTGCTTTATTACATTTAAAGGTCCCTCCTGGTCAAGTGGTATTTACACTTTCGTTCCATGTTACCATGTTTGTCCATAATCACGGTGCATCTGTTCCGAACTGTCTCTAATTAACAAGTGGCCTCTCTGTGGAGAATACCAGCTCTACCCTTCTTCCTCCTTCTTCTTTTTTGTACCTCTCCTTTTGATCGCAAAATAGCAACATCCCTGAAAATAAAAACAAACACACACACACCGTTGGGAGCCAAGTGTGCGCACATAAAAACATGTAAGAATACAAGCACCCACTGGCACCCAAAAAAAAAAAAAAAAACCATCCAGCTGAGTTGTTGTTCTCTGCTGGCTCCTGATTTCAAAGATAAGAAATCACTTGTTTTGTGTTGAAATACATATTTTAAGATGCAATAACTGTCCTAAAAACAGTACCATATTCTGTCGTCCTTTGCCTCATGTGTGCGTGATGCCTTTAAGTACATCTTTTCTACACTTGTTTTCATGAACGTGTGGTCTTTGGTTTGTGTGAAGTCTCGATCAAATAAAAATACCGTAATTTCTGGACTATTGAGCGCACCTGACTATAGGCTGCACCCCACTAAATTATAAAAGAAAAACAGCTATTGAGTGCACCTGACTATAGGCTACACCCCACTAAATTATAAAAGAAAAACATATTGTACACAGAAGGATTTTTTATTTTTTTACTTTTAATTAAATAAATGCTTTTTACCGAACAGTACCTGTAACATGGCTGGTTACACGTTAGCTCTTTCCTGTTTCGGCGCCTGGACCGTAGTCAGAGTGCTCAGGGGAGACTGCTCCAGGGCCCAAGCTAACATTAGCTCCGGGGCTAACTCCTTTCACTTTGTGCTTGTCCGCAGCAGAGGTAAACAGAAACAGTGAAGTTGGGGTCTTTATTATCAGCCACACCGAGCACAACAGAACATAAACAGAGTTTTAACAGCTCCTGTATAAGCAACTCACGCTTCAACATGACAGGGCTCAAACTGTTCTCAACTTTCACTAATGTTCATATGCGCACAAAGCCATTTACAAACAGTTATACGCTAATAGTATAACATACAGTAGCCTACCAGAAAAGTCATTCATCGCTAGCGGTATGTACTTTGTTAGCCTGTAAAAATCCATAAATTAGCCACATCATTGTTTAAGCCGTAGGGTTCAAAGCATGTGAAAAAAGTAGCGCCTTATAGATCGGAAATTACGGTACATGAAGTCTAAATGGTGATTTTAGTCAGAGCACATTTTTACTTTGTGAATCTGTAACAACAACATCCTGTTGAATGCTGTATAAAATTGTATTTTGTAAAACCCACAGCAGCTTTGGGTCTCTAAAAAAATCTACAGAAGATTTGAAGGTTAAGGATCTGTTTCACATGCTGGTAGAGGTCAACAAGCTTTTACTGACAATCTCAGCAGTCGCATGAACTATACTCCTTGAAGCCTTCGAGAAGAAAATGATTTTCCCTTTCTTTTTTTCTCTGGCTGTTCTGTTTCCTTGCTTATTGTGAACCCTCACTCACCTGCAAAAAAGTCAGCTGGATGATATGAATGCTGTTGTACTTCACTAAACTAAACTACTTAGTCGTTGGTTGATGGTGCTGAATAAAGTGCATCTCTTACAGAAGGTGGGGAACCGTGGATCGGCTCCACAGCTACAGAGCCGGGCAGGGTAGGGCAACATGGTAGAGCGCCTGCTTTGATTCACAGGAGCTCCACCTCCACGGACTCGCAAGCTCACGGTAGAAACAGAAGAGCTCAACCCCAGTTGGTGTCTTTTGGTAATGGACCTTCAACCATGTCTGTTTGCATGTGTTAGCATTTAATTCCTTGTCGTCTCCTGCATACTACCAAACTAGTTTGTTGCAAATATACACATACAAATATTGGGTCATATAATGAGTAATGTAATTATATTTTGTGTGATTAACTTTACAGAAAGATAGAGGTCCTGTAACCCTTCACTTCTGTTTTCCCTGAGAGAAATACATAGTAAATACAGTATATAGCACTTTTGGATTGTATCATTCACCGGGCAGTGGTGATTTTTGTTTTAAATTATATTTATGTCATGTTGGCATCAAATTATAGAAACTGAGGCTTTACACATTTATAGAGTTATAAATTAATTATTGCGATTATTACCTATAATAATTGTTATAATATCGTGATAGATTCTCCGAAAAAAACAATAGCACCAAGAAAATCCATAATGGTTACGCCATCCCGCCTCCGAGAATATCGTCAAATTCACTATCTGATGAAGCCGGATGTGAGTTGTTGTTGTCATCGTAACAATTCCGAAGGTGGATCCTTCTGTGTTTCTTTGCTTAGTCAGCTGTGAAGTAGATGTTTGACATGTCCTTTGCTAGAGTTTCTATAACGGATTTGCTGCTATCAGGAAAAACAAACCCCTGCAGAGGAGATGGAAGAGTGGAGTGAAAAGTTAGTGAGAGGCAGCGGGCTTTGGTGTGAAGCCTAAGAGAGGGATTAAAAAAAAAGAATCTGTCACATTGTGATATTTCAGCTATGCCATTGTATCTTGGACTTCCATTTTAAAGGCAATTCAGTATATCTCATTAGCTACATTAGGGTTACGGTTAAGAATTTCCTTCTTGGATATTAATTCATTATATAATTAAATAGCACAAAGGACAAAATCTCTGACAGAAGTCAGAAATCAAAAATGTATTCAGTCCTTAAATTAAGGTAAGGCAGGGGTTAATTACCTATAAATAGCAATACGTCTGTGTTTTTTCCCTTTGTTTTCATGCAAAGAAGTATATTAGATAAATCCTAATTATATGTGATAATAATTATTTTAAAATAATTATAATGAAATACATATTTTTTTTATTTTCAAAATTCATCAAACGGGCCAGATTGAAAAAACCAAGAGGGTCGGTTTTGGCCCGCGGGCCGTATATTTGCGGTTAAGAATTTCCTTCTTGGATATTAATTCATTATATAATTAAATAGCACAAAGGACAAAATCTCTGACAGAAGTCAGAAATAAAAAATTTATTCAGTCCTTAAATTAGGTTAAGGCAGGGGTTAATTACCTATAAATAGCAATACGTCTGTGTTTTTTCCCTTTGTTTTCATGCAAAGAAGTATATTAGATAAATCCTAATTATATGTGATAATAATTATTTTAAAATAATTATAATGAAATACATATTTTTTTTATTTTCAAAATTCATCAAACGGGCCAGATTGAAAAAACCAAGAGGGTCGGTTTTGGCCCGCGGGCCGTATATTTGACACCCCTGGTGTAAGGTCTAGTTAAACCTTTGAATTTGGCTTTTTGGAGATACTGGAGATACATCAGCAGCCATCAGGATGCCTTTTAAATCCCGCCAATATTCTACTTTCTTCATTAGGGTTCTTCAAAAGAGCCTTTTACTTGAATTGTCCATGTTCTTCTACAAGGATATTGTTCTCTGGGGTAATTGAGTCACTTGAAATAGCCGACATATCCGGAACATGTCAAGAAAAGATTAGGATTAAAAGAGCCTACAGGCTGACACAATCGACAATGCATTCTAAAGTGTTTCAAGGAACTATGATGCACTTTTTTGTAAAGGGACACACACACACACACATACACACACTTGCACTTGGTTTCCCATCTGAGTCATCAGGAGAGGGATTTACATCAATAGAATTGTGACGTTGAGTCACCCCGGATTGTGCATTGTGAATCAGACTAGTGGGAGAAGACGGATCGTCTATTTCGGTTTCGCTGGCAGCTTTTCCATGCACGTCTTAAAAGCCCATTTTTAAGAATTTCAAAGGAAATTGGAACAAAATATGTAAACATGTGAGGTGAAAAGGGCGAGGTTGTACCTGTTTGTATCTTTTCTGATGATAAGCTACCGACCCTTATGTTTTCAAAAATGTCAAATAACTCAACGCAACATCACAACAGATTTCCCAGGTTGACGTTGAAGAGGAAATGTATTCCTGGTTTAGCATCTGTCTTATTTACTTTTTTATTTTTTTCCGAAGCTTCACATTTTGGAAATCTGGCACAGGGGTTTCTGTGCGTCTTTGGCAGCAATAGAGTGTCTTGGTGTGCATTTAAAGATACTGACAGTATTTAAAGCCACAGCGACTGTGGCTAATAATCTGACGAAGTAATGGTAGTCATTTCTAGGTGCGTTACTGCCAAACACCTTACTGATTAACGCAAGCATCATTCATAGTTTCTGTGAAAATTTTTTTTTGACCCGCTGTTGACACACATTTAACGGATCTTTAAGACAAGGGCAATAAACAGTATTTACGTTTCAATTAAAGAATCCCAGTAAAACTGTATTACAAAAAAAAATCAAAATGTCTTCAGATTTGAATGGTTTTGCCTCAGGTGAATGTAGGTGCAAACACCCCTTTTTTTGGACGGCAAAAGTCATTTTGAACTTGAAACTCAAGTTTTAGTATTTTATAAGTGACTCATGAATTTACTGCTTTTTTTCTGTATACTTTATGGTAATCTCCCTGGTAAATATTTTCTGTTCTTGTTCTTGTATTTTTATTATCTTCTTATATGAAAGCTTAAAACTCAAGTTTTTGTAGTATTTTATAAGTGACTCATGAATTTACTGCTTTTTTTCTGTATACTTTATGGTAATCTCCCTGGTAAATATTTTCTGTTCTTGTTCTTGTATTTTTATTATCTTCTTATATGAAAGCATTCCATTTGTTAAAAAAATATGACATAGTATTAGATATCAGGTTTGTGCAAAAAAAATAGTCTTGGAAATCTTGGATAGAATAGGACTTCACTTCCTAACATGAGCAATAAATCAACGTTCGTCATTAAGCATGTTTACAGAAGAGGGGTCAGCAGGTCGACCTCACTGCTCGCTATTTATGCGTAACTCTGTGGACGAGGCACAGGCCATTGGATGCAGTGTGTGGTATCTGACCTGACCCTAAAACACTAAGGAATCTTACAAACACAAGAGGAAAACAATACAGATAACAATAACGCATGTGTGTTGGAGTCGTTTGAGAATCACTCTGTGTGTGTGTGTGTGTCTGATCCGACCTTATTTCTAATCCCAAATCCAAAGTAAACCTCAAACCTAAAAATACCTTCTCACTCAGTCCAGACCTGCAAAATGCCCTTAAAAGGACTGCAGTATGTGTCCTCAAAACAATGTTATTAAGAATGTTTACAAGTATAACAATACCATGTATTCTCTCTCTCTCTCTATTTCTGTCTCTCTCTCTCACACACACGCACACCATGCTCTATATTAGAGACAGCGTGATCATGTTGATCTGTTGTAATACATATAAGCTTTTCTTCTGTCTGTGTCCATCCTGCTGCTGTTGCTCACAGCTTGTACTTCATTCATTATTCACAGCTTCACATTGACTTGTTACTGTCCAGCTTAAGAGACAAAAAAAAACAAAAAAAAAAAAAAAAATGGTATGGGTGCAGCAGGACCAGTAAAAAGGGAAGTGCACAGCCTCAAGGAGAAAACATTACGAATATCTGCAATGGTAATATAATTAACTGGACTGAGAGTAGTACATGTAATATATAAAAAAAAAAAAATATATTAAATTATTTCTTGCTCTAGAAAATATGAAAAGTGTTGCCAAATGAGTTCAGTTTTTTAACTTTTGCATTTTCTGGTGTAAGTAACACACTGCACTCACTTCTAAGGTAACTTTAAATAATAGAGCACACCTACTAAAAAAAAAACACCAATATTTTATATAAAACAAATTTTGTTTATTTTTTAGGGATGTCCAATAACGTTGGCCAATCAATTTTATTGGTTGATATTGCATAATTAATAATTATAGTGAATTTATTATCACTGTGACAGCACACTACTGCACACGTGCGAAACGTGTCCTCTGCCTTTAACCCAATAGGCTGCAATCATTGTTATTGGTTGATATTGGAATCGGAAAGTAGGTGTATAACCCTTTCATGCATGACGGTCACTACAGTGGACAGCTATGAAAATGTCATTTTCTATGATAAGAATAGGTTTTGATGTCAGTGTTGCATATAAGCCTCTACAGTGGATGCCTGAGAATCACCCAACACTGCCATACAGTGGTCAGCCTTTGCAACTGCAGAATAATTGTGTCAACATTCAAAAAGAACATTTGGTGTATAAAAACAGAACCAAATCAGTTCTTATTTTTATATCTAAAAACACATAAAAACACTTAGTAACATTTTTTTAACTCAGTATATCATGGGTCATGCATCAAAGGGTTAATCCTAAAAATACTGTAAAATGCAACAGTTCAAGTGAGTAAAATAATGGATGGATAAACATAAGAATTATATATAAATATAAAACTACAAGGCTATGAGTGTATGCTAAGTTTTGTAGACACACTTAAATTAATAGGATACAAGCCCTGTGGTTTGGTTGTGAAGACACGACTCAGTTGGCATGTTGGGATTTTTGTGCTAGTTCCTGTAAAGCTGATGGGATCACATTGTGACTGCATGACTTGTGAGTTTGTTATGTCTGGTAAGGGTGGGTTTTAGTCTCCGAGCAGTTTGTCATTTATTGTTTTTATGCAGCGGTGAGGTTTTACCACAAGATCCATCAAGCACTGCTATAAAAGCCATTTAAAATTAAATATTAATCATAGAGTGAAAAGGGGTGTGAATACTATTAGGTATGCGTCGAGCCACAGAGGAACAAAGCATTACTGCAGGTGCTGCAACTGCAAATGTTTAGCACAACTGAAAAGAATAGGACTGATTGTGTCCCTGATTTTTTTTTTTTTTTGGGGGGGACAGGCAATATTTTTTACATCGAAATCCCGATGAAAATGGTCATCAGATATATATATTTTTTTTTCAATTTAGATTTAACAGTTAAACGTGGGTTAGTGTGTGGGTGTTGTTGTGTGTCTCTTTGCTCTGAGGAGACTTACTGTGGCTGTGTTAATGAGTCTGTGGGTGTGCTCTTGAGTATGCCAGTGACTTGTTTTGCTGTAGCCCTACAGTGTATTTCACTGAAAATACAAGTTATAGAGCTTTAGAGACTTAAAGTCAGAGTTGGATTTGCTGTGCAGCTTTGTGCTGTGCGATTGTGTGTGTGTGTGTGCGTGCGTGCATGTGCGGGGGGATATAAAAGTAAAAGACCAAGCTAGAGAGCGTAGGCTGTGTGCTTAAACTTGAGAGATTTACATGCAAAGGGCTGGTGCTTCTGCGTCTTAACTTTGGGGAAGTGGAGGTTGAAATGTGCTCAGTGGAAATGTGCTTACGAACAGCGAGAAAACCAATTTCAGTTACAAGTGGGGAACTGAGAGTATTGCATTTCTGTAGTCAATCATGCACTGTTCTCCTAACTAGAGATTTAACCATCAAGCCCTGGTCTGTTTATTTGGCCTTATCCGGCTGATTTACTCTGTGCCTAATTTTTTTGAAACCTCAAATCAACTCACTCGATTCATGTTTGGATTTCCAAATGTGCTAAACCGCATAGGTTCAAATGTGTGGAACTCTCTTGTCGTGCATCGATTTTGTTATGCGTTAAGTTGCAAGTGACTGTTTATTTAATTAAATATCGATCCTGAAAATTGTAATGTGGTAGAAATGAATGGAAGATTAGTTTGGGATTTCACGGTGAAAGAGTGGATAGTTGTCTCCGGCTTCCTCCTCTACTCCATAAACATGCAGGAGGATTAAGTT